TAAATAGGAAACAGAGCCGTTGTTCAGGTGCGAAGTACTCTAGAATATAATTCTTTGATAGAAGTTGCTTGCGGGCGGAGCATTAACGTGGTTTTCCGGTTAGGTGTTCGAAGGTACTCCGGGTATTGATGTCAAAAAGGTATACTACAACGGCAATAATCGAGTCTGGTGGTTGCACACTTTAATCGAGTCGTCATGCTGACTTTGTCTTAGACCAAGGTCGAGTTCAGCGGCCACAGCTTAAAGCTGGGTGTGTCGGAGGACATGCTGGGTCGTGTATTCGATGGTTCGGGTCGCGCCATTGATAAGGGCCCTAAGGTGTTGGCGGAGGATTATTTGGATATCAATGGTCAACCTATCAATCCTTACTCGAGAGTACGCACACGTTATGCCCCCGTGGATTCGATGACGGTGCTATAATTCGCTAACGTGATGGTGTAAAGGTGTACCCCGAAGAAATGATCTCCACCGGTATCTCTGCCATCGACACTATGAACTCCATTGCTCGTGGTCAGAAGATTCCCATTTTCTCAGCTTCCGGTCTTCCACACAACGAGATTGCTGCCCAGATTTGTCGCCAGGCTGGCTTGGTCGGCAAGCCGACTAAGGACGTCCACGACGGACACGAAGAGAACTTCTCGATCGTCTTCGCAGCTATGGGTGTTAACATGGAGACTAGTCGTTTCTTCACCCGTGATTTCGAGGAGAACGGCAGTATGGAGCGTGTCACGCTGTTCCTGAACTTGGCTAATGACCCAACGTACGTCCATCAACAAATACTCGGGGTCCTTCTGCGTTTACCATACATTCGATACTGACTGTTTGCTTCAGCATTGAGCGTATCATTACTCCTCGTCTTGCCCTGACAACCGCCGAATACTACGCTTATCAGTTGGAGAAGCACGTCCTGGTTATCATGACTGATCTCTCGGCCTATTGTGATGCTCTCCGTGAAGTCTCCGCCGCTAGAGAAGAAGTGCCCGGCCGTCGTGGTTACCCCGGTTACATGTACACTGACTTGTCCACTATCTACGAGCGTGCCGGACGTGTAGAGGGTCGTAACGGATCTATCACTCAGATTCCTATTCTGACTATGCCTAACGATGGTTGGTTTTCCTCCTTCGATTAGAGAAACTGTGTGTTAACCTCGTGTTAGATATCACCCACCCTATTCCCGACTTGACAGGTTACATTACTGAGGGCCAGATCTTCATTGACCGTCAGCTGTACAACAAGGGTGTCTACCCTCCAATCAACGTCCTTCCATCTCTGTCGCGTCTGATGAAGTCTGCCATTGGTGAGGGTCGTACCCGTAAGGACCACTCTGATGTGTCCAACCAGCTGTACGCCAAGTACGCTATTGGACGAGATGCCGGTTAGTTACCCCTAATATGAGTCCCAACGAGCCATGCGGTACTAATTAAAACTACCACGACAGCCGCCATGAAGGCAGTCGTCGGTGAGGAGGCCCTGTCCTCCGAAGACAAGCTATCCCTCGAATTCTTGGAGAAGTTCGAGAAAACCTTCATCAGCCAGTCGCCCTACGAATCGCGCAGTATCTACGACTCCCTAGACATCGCCTGGAACCTGCTCCGCATCTACCCCAAGGACCTCCTCAACCGTATCCCCAAGCGCGTCCTGGACGAATTCTACGCCCGCTCCTCCCGTAAGATCGCCAACAAGGACACAAGGGACAACAGCGTTCCTGAACAGACTCAGTCGTCGACTGGTGATCTCATTGAGACCTAGATTCGATCCGTATAAATGAACTGGGCTCCCGAAGATGAGAAGAAGGATGACGGCGGCGGGCGGTTTTCTTTTTATCCCGAGATATCTATTGTTCGTGTTTGCTTTATCATTGCATGTTAAGCTATTCTTCTGTCTTTGTCCGCTACGAACTTTGCATATACTCTTCGTCGTAGTTGTATATCATATAGATCATATTGGTCATTTCTATGTTCATCCTCTCGATGAGACTGGATACGTATGTGAGGAATAATCTACTGTTACCGGTATGATGGAATGGGATCATAAGGAATGGGAAAAGAAAAAAAGAAAAAGATAATGAGTCTAAACAACCTGCATGCTGGATATCCAAAACAGATCTTCGAACCAGGAATGACGTCATAATAAATGTGCAATGTAAGGAAACTTTTCTCTTTATTTTATCATCGCTCATCAGCGAACGTCTATCGAATCAATCAACCGTAGGGCTACGCGAAGCCCGGATATCTAAACTAGATCAAACCAATAGGTACATAAGTTTTGCGTTTAGCACGCAGTCGTAGTAAGGCTTTTTAGAAACGCAGATCCCAGCCGATCTTAGGACCCAGGCGGGGAAGTTCATCGGCAACGCTCTGGACATCCTTGTCACCTCTGCCGCTGAGGTTGAGGACGATGTTTTCGCCCTTCTTCATGGTCTTGGCGAGTTCCATGGCGCCGTGGATGGCGTGAGAGGATTCCAGTGCAGGGATGATACCCTCGCATTGGGCGAGGGCGCGGAAACCGGCGAGTGCTTGGGCATCGGTGGCGGCGATGAATTGGGCACGGTCGCTGTCCTTCCAGTTGCTCAGTTCCGGGCCGACACCGGGATAGTCGAGACCGGCGGAGATGGAGTGGGTCTCGGAGATTTGGCCGTGCTCGTCTTGCAGAACGTAGGTGCGGACACCGTGCAGCACGCCCTTGCTACCACCAGAGAGGGTGGCAGAGTGTCTGTCGGTGTCGACGCCATCACCTCCGGCTTCAACACCCAGAAGCTTGACGCTGGTGTCCTTAGAGAAGGGGTAGAACATGCCGACGGCGTTACTGCCCCCACCGACACAAGCGACGACTGCGTCGGGCAGCTTGCCGATTTGCTCCATCATTTGCTGCTTAGTCTCGTCACCAATGACGGACTGGAAGGTACGCACAATGGTAGGGTACGGGTGAGGCCCAATTGCAGAGCCGATGATGTAGTGAGTGGTATCCAGATCAACAACCCAGGCACGGAGGGCCTCGTTGACGGCATCACGCAGGGTACGGCTTCCAGCATCAACGGCCACCACGGAGGCACCGAGGAGCTTCATACGGAAAACGTTCAGGGCTTGACGGCGAACATCTTCTGCACCCATGTAGACAACACACTCCATGCCAAACTTAGCGCAGACAGTCGCAGTAGCAACACCGTGCTGACCAGCGCCCGTTTCAGCAATGATTCTTGTCTTGCCCAGTCTCCGGGCAAGGAGAATCTGGCCTAGTGCGTTGTTGATCTTGTGACTTCCGGTATGGTTGAGATCCTCACGCTTCAACCAGATGTTTGCGCCTCCAACATGCTCTGTAAGACGATTGGCAAGATGAAGGCTGCTAGGTCTGCCCATGTATGGGTAGTAAGAACGGTATTCCTCCCAGAACTTGGGGTCGTTCAAAGCCTCTGCGAATCCCCGCTCCAATTCGGCCAAGCAGTCCATGAGGGATTCAGGAACATACTGTCCACCGAACTCACCAAAACGCTGTGGTTGCGCAGAAGGATTTCCGCCATTGAGAGCTTCAAGCTGGTCGGCCAATCCCGGCCCCGAAGGCGCATCGACATCAGTGACAACGGCTGTGGGCTGTGAGACGGCCGGCTGCTCCTTCTTCTCCACGAAATCGATCACATTGACCTGGCGTATAATTGCACCCTGCGCATCCCTCTCGAGCTTGCGACCGGTGACACTGGAGAGATACTCCTCGGCGTGCTTAGCCGCCTGACCAGCAGGGGCTTGACCCAAGACAGTGATAATCTGGCTACCAATAACACATCCCTCAGCTAGATCCTGCACAGTCAAAAAGTGCTCACGAGTGCTGACACCGAATCCTAGGGCAGCAGGCACATTGCCAGACCAGTTGTGGACACGAGACAAGAGCTCGGGAAGGTTTGCACTGAGCTTTCCGGTGGCACCGGTAACACCCATTCTCGAAACGACGTAGATGAAAGAATCGGCGATCTTGCACAGGAGCTTCATGCGGGACTCTGAGGTTGCGGGGGCAATGAGGGGGACGAAAGAAAGTCTGTATAGCATGTCAACAAATTGCCATTTGAACGAGCAAATGAAGGATATCATGCGAAGACGTTCACTTACCCATTGCTAGTGCAGTGTTCTCTGAAACGCACAGCTTCCTCGGGGGGCAAATCGACCATAATGAAACCATTGACACCGGCCTCTCTGCAGTCCTTGAGCATACGCTCCTCACCATAACGCATCATAGGGTTGTAGTAGCCCATCAAAAGGATCGGCACTTTGAGACCTCTGCGGCGGGCCTCCCTGACCTTCTCAAGGACAGTGGTGACTGTGACGCCGTTCTCCAATGCTTTAGTGTTAGCCTTCTGGATTGTCGGTCCGTCAGCGATGGGGTCAGTGAAGGGCACTCCCATTTCGATAATATCTGCATAAATCGCCCCATTGCGTCAGTGAACTGCATTCCAAAACGGAACTGATAAGTGATGGGGTATGGGGAACCGTCACGTACCGGCGCCTCCATTTTCCAAGCCAAGGAGGATATCCACAGTCTCCTCGACGGTAGGATATCCAGCAGTGATGTACGCTACCAAGGCGGCGCGCTTCTCCTGCTTAGCCTTGGCAAAGGTCTTCTTGATGTCTTCCATAGTGTCGGTGGTGAATGAGGGGAGGGGTCCAAAGACCAGAAATGCGGTGGACTTTTCCGAAAGGACAATAAGATAGAGAATGAAGTGGATCCCCCGGGGTGTCAATTAGGTCAGTTAATGGGTGGAATATAAGGGGGTAAATGGAGAAGGACGAAATGTAGTCCCGATCAAAGTCACACTTCGTTTTGAGTCATGGCTCATCTTGTATCTGCATTCAAATTGCCATCGCCGATGTCCCGCCGAGTCAGGTGATGTGGCGATAAGATAAGCTCGGTCAGGAATTCTCTTCTCGTACGGTATGTACGGTAAGCATGTATCGATTGTACGGTACCATCGGAATTACGGCATAGGGTACGTACGGGATTAGGGCTCGAAGGAATCACCAAGTAGAAAGAACAATCAGCTATTATTAAGGCGGAATATTGTTGCTATACTATAAAACCAATCTCAAGTCAATCAATAACACAGATGTGGTTGAATGGAATCAATCAAGCAATAAAAAACAAAAATAAATAAAAAATAAATAAAGATAGCGGTATTCACAAACGCCAAAGCTATGCATATATAGTGGAATCTCGCCCGATCGAGGTCGACCCAAAGTAAAAGAACACAAAGTCTGCCTGAGGTCTCAATGTGCTCAAGGCACAAGTGAACCACAGCGCATCAGAAATCCAAACAAAAGACACTGCACACTTTTCCTTCGCCATCCAACCCACAATCCCAAATACCCAGACCTGCGAAACCAAAAGGAACGACAGCAGCGCCATGCTATGCCAAAATAATTGTACAACTTCCGGAAAGGAGTGAAATCCCAATGCCCATATATAATGCAAATGCTGGAGGGAACGGACAACAGATCGTCTAAAATGCGTCATGTCAACAGGCTTTAAATGACGAAAAGATGGGGCATTAAGACATGAAGAATAATGGAAAGGAGAGACATCGGATCATACGAATGATCATCAAACAAAAAACGCTGAAGCCAACTTGAAATGGTCCCAGCACGTAAGACATGATTATTGACCCAGCGCCGTAGCTTAAAAAAGGAGTGACGATAATGGATATCAGAAAGGGTAAACTCAACACACAAAACCGAAAACGCCGTGCAATGCGATTGGAAAAGAGGTGACATATTATAAACGTCCCAGCTTAATGAGACGGGTCTTGAACAGAGTATGACATCGGAGTCAGGTAGTTGTAGGTGGGGCCTCCATTTGTCCCAGGAGCGTTGATAAGAGGGTTGATTTCCCAAGTCCTGCTAACAGGCGCAGTGAGACCAAGTTGACCCTGTTGTTGGCAGACCGCTGGATAAGAGTAGGGGGCAGCTATAGGATGATAGGGTTGGCTAACAGCAGGTAGCACAGCTCGTAGTTCATGAGTGCCGGTCATGGAATGGCCGGGGAGATGTGCTGGAGGGGAATAGGCTGCGGCTGCCACATGGGCACCATAGGTGGTTGATGGACCAGTGTCCGAGACAGATTGTGGGGATGCCGCGTTCGGGGGTTCAGTACCAGAGTCCGATGTGGCGCCGTTACTTGTATAAGTTGAGCTAATGGGTGTGGGAAGTGCCCCAGCTGTCGAAGAGTAGCTTGCGGACTGTGACCCATGTACGTCAGTATTTGCGCCAAAGCTCTGCAGCATAAAGTATCCACCACTTACATATTTGCCAATAATCTTCTTCAGTGCATGGCCAAGTATCCGCCAGGGGAATACTTTGACATCCTTCTCAATATTGCGCGGCTTCGGGGCGGGGAAGCCCATGATCACCTTGAAGAAGTCCTCGCTATCGGCTTTTGCTTTCGAAACAGTAAGTGGCCTGAAGCCTTCCAGATTCCTGCGAATACGATTCTTCTCTTCCACGGTGAACCTGACGCCAACAAGCGACTCAAGGAGGTAGATGGTATCAACACTGGTTATGAAGCATTCATCTTTGCCATCCCAGTAGATGCAACTAATGCAGATACTGTTGGGAGCACGGTCTTCAGGAGCAACTGGATTAAAATCCGCATGGATGGTGCTTCCACTTTGCATACGAGTGAATTGAACCAAGCGACGCTTGGCCTCGCGCTCCTCTTTAGTCCAGCTTTCCGTCATTGAGTCCAAGCTGCCATTGAGCTTCAAAACAGCCTTCGAGGGATACATGGCATAGGGGTTGAACGACTGGGTATGGTGACCAAGGCTGCTGGACTGCTGCAATGTAGAGGTGCGAATAAGCGTTGGGTTAGAGAGCCGCGCGGGGGAAGTTGGTTTTTGCTGGCGGAGGCCGTGGGCATAAGCGAACCCAGGAGCTCTGGCATCTCCGTGAACAGTCACGTATGAAGGATTCCATGAAGGAGCGAGGGGCGAGGGTGCTCGGATGTTGGACTGTGACGTTGCCGTTACAGTCGAGTACTGCGCTGGAGCAACTCGGGGTGAGGAGGTTGGGTGATATGGAGCGACGAAGCCATTCATCGCAGGCAAAGATTGCAAATATGGTGAATAAGAGTAGGCTGGCGGCTGTTCCTTGCCCGGGATTGGCGGCCCAGTTGTCCTCTTGCCTGAAATAGGCTCATCCGAGTATGACGCGATCCTCCTCTTTTGGGACTCGTCCGACGGCGAGGGGTGGGATGCGTTTTCGTATGTATATACACCTACTTGCAGGGTAGTGGAAGGGCACTCATTTTGGGCATTCATCGCCACTTGCAAGGGCACAGCGAAAGACGGCGAACCCGTTGAGATGAATGGGGGGGTATCCACCGAGAGGGCATACTGAAACAAAGAGCCTTGGAATCCCAGGAAGTGTGGTACACATTCACACTTCTTCGAACCAAAAACCAGGTAAAGAGTTGCATAAGATGAAGTGTGAAGGTCATATGGGGACTGGATTTGCACAAACACCCGAGTACCTTCTGTTCCTCTTTGAGGAGAATAAGAGATAACCTCCGGTAGTTGGCGGGATTCGCCACCTAGCATGGGTGACCTGCTATCTTCATAAGAGCTGGCGTATTCTTGATTACCCATGTATGGGACACAGTCGGATATTTGACTCGCATGATCGGCCATGGGGGAGGGCACCATTGGCGTGCTCGTCACATATGGGGCCTGACCGAAACTGGAATAGGAGGCACCATCTTGTACGGACCGAGCAGATTCGTAATCTAGATATATAGTCAGCAATTTGACTTAAAAATGAGGAGGGGCGCCACTATGTTTCTCCTCGTGAAGCACCGGAGTACCAGTTCCGACCAAACTTACCGAGCAAGGCCGCCTGTGGGGGCTTCTGAAGAGTAGACATAGACAGGATGGGTTGAGACTTGGCCAACAGGCCGTCTGATAGCGAACCGATAAACCGTGACTCTTCAGTGTCTGATAAATCTAAGGATTCGTCTAGAATCAACGGCGTTTGAAAATCAGGATCGAACTGTGAAGTGAAGATGTTAACAGACGTCCAGTATTGTCGAGACAACAAGACAATTTGGAAGTCTCTAGCGAGACAGGAATTTAACCAAGCTTCTTAAACAGAACAGGAAAAAGCAAGGCAAGATGGTTGGAACAGGGACAATTGGGCAGCAAAAGGAGAGACAGGACGAGGCATGTCGACGTACCAAAACACCGTGTGCCTTCGAGTAAGCCAGCTTGAAGGTGTTGCAGAAACTGCAACGAAACACAACCGCTTAGAAGCGAATGACAGCGAATTTAACTGAGGAAACGATAGGATGGCGGAGAGTCTTGAATTGCTCTCCGAGACAAAACGAGTGACGACACGAAGCGGCTGTCAGGCTCAACAAGGAATACGCAACAACGGGCTTCGAATCAACGACCAGCATCCAACGACGGAGAGTGAGACCCGAAAGGATGGCTGCAGGACGAGAGCTAGAGATAAGCCACGCTAACAAATACTGCTTGAAAAGCCACCTATAGGGAGCTAGTGTGCATCTGCGAAGGACGTATGATAATTCCAAGTACGAGACAGTGACTGGATTCCGCAGACCAATCTCAACGAGCGAGTGGTATCAAGTCGATGCAGATAGAGACAGGAGAGGTTTCACTCTTCCTCACAATTCCAGAGCCGACTAGATCCAGGTGAACTGAAAGACAGTTGGAGGCCACGAACTACCCAGCTAATGAGTATGAACCTTTTCAAGGTCAAAGGAATCGGCTTGCTGCATAAGCTAGTAGGACTGACCAAGAGTAATAAAGGATTCAAAACCGCAGGAGAGGCTAGCGGAAAGCTATTATGCAAAGTTCACCGTCCCCAAATATCTGACGAAATAGCCTACGCCATAAGAATGTCAATAACAAACATCCGGGGCTAGGGGAGCAAAACCAGTCGGGGAAATGACAAGCACCTGGGAAAGTCCATCATGGGCCCTAATTTTCCTCGGGGCCCGTGTGCCCCAAGGGCACGACCTGGGAGAAGCAAGGAGCCCAAAAGGAAGGGGATGGATGCAAGGCAACATGGCATCAGTGGCAAAGGGGATAATTAAACTAACCTTAAGAGATTACACCCTGTAGCGAATTTGAAGCCCTTTAGATTCTCCAGGAGCTCACTTGAGAACTTTGCTGGGAGTTTCGTAATCAAATGGTGCCCTTAGCCGAGACAATGATTCACGATACTGTAGGCCCAGATCGAAATGGTACGAGTATTGGTAGATGACCGTTTAGAGGCCCACCCTTTGAACGAATCGAGACCAGACAAAAGCCTGAATAAGAAAGTAAATGACGGAGGGGAGTCGTGGACTGGGGACACAACTTGACGATCTTGATGTCCCTCCCGCAGTACAAACGAGTTTGCGGGTCCTTCCTCTATAGCTTGTAAGCCTTTCTGAGACCCGACAAACGGCAATTGAATAGTGCGCACAGAATAAGTAAAAAATGATCTGTCAGTCAATCAAAAGCCAATCCTCCTAGACAGGCACCTTTCGTTCTTGTCAAAATGAGATGCCAAGGGTGAATAAGTCGGCAGATCTGCACGGAATCGAGGTCCAGGCAGAAGTAGGCAAAACGAAAGTCGTCGAACGAAGAGCGAGTGCGATATCCCGTGATGACCCAGTAGTATATAGAAGTGCAATTAAAACCGTCAACGCATCCGCTTTCTTCTTTTCCTTTCCCTGTAACCTGATCTTATTTTCTTTTTTTGTCTTCGAGTTCTCTTCCACTGTTTCTGGTAAGACCTTCTCGTATTTTCTTTTTTTCTTTCCCTTTTTTTAAATTGTTATTCTTCTTCGTCAACCAACGTAGCGAACGTTATATAGTTTCGAAACAAACACAAAGCGAGTGTGATGGCGAACGTGCGATGAGCGAGTGTAAAAACGAAAGTAAGAGAAGTAGTAGTCGAATCCGTTCAAGGTGCCATAACAGGAAACCAAGAGGGGGAGGGGGAAAGGGTAAGTAATAATAAAACGGGGAAGAGGAGGTGAGAAGTTTAAAGGGTTTAAAAAAAGAAAAGGCCAAACCAGACAAGGGACCAGTACGAGGTGACGAGAGATATATTATTTTTTTCCCTTTTAGCACTAAGGCCGAGGGATGGGGTGGTTAAGGGCACTGGAAAAGGATGCTGGTCCTTAGTCTTAGTGTGGCGGGGATGCAAAGTAAGAGGGAACAAGTAAAGAATCGAGGGTGGTTATAGGCTGGTAAAAGGCAGCAGTAAGATAGAGTAAGTAATACTGGGGCTTGAATGAGGTTGGTAAAAGTCAAGTAAATAGTAGAAGATTTGACACCCAGGGTTCTCTTGATGTAAAACTAGGATATTTTTTTTTAAAAAAAAAAAAAAAGAAAATTGACGGTGATTTATGATTCTTATTATTATAATTCCTTCGAGATTTTCTCTTTTACCTTACCTTCATATTCTAACTTATATAGATCAGATATTTTTTATTTCATTCTAATTTTCCTTCGTGGCTCTTGCTTCATAATTTATTTTATTATTGTTTTTTTTAGGTCACTTACTATCTTAGCTTGTAATCGTGTTGAAAGATGGGTTGTTATAATTATCAGTACTATTATTGTTATGATTTTAATATTCTTTTTTTTGAAAAACAAAACAAAAATAAATAAATTCCGTTTAGTGATCGAGTGTTATTGATTCTAATAATTATTATTACCATTGCTAAACCAGAGATATCCATAGGTATTTCCGTATAGTAACGGAGGATGTATTTATGGAGCATGACCTCCGGCGGAGCCCAGTACTGGTTTAGTTAGGGATTCTGGTTGGGTTGAAGGATAGTAATTGCTGGGTTTTTGCTCCAGTGGAAGATTCCTGGGTTTCCTTCCTCCACACCACATCTGAACCGTTACCAGTCCGTCCATGGAGAGCGTGAGAATGGGCAGTCTCCATAATATTCTTCGACGAAGTTTCCGCGGTGTCCGCTTTCCTTCGGAGATCCACAGAAGGCAGAAAGAAAAAAAGTGACCTCATGGCATCCCTTTTCTTTTCTTTTCTTTTTATTTTGGGAGTATTTTCTATTTTTTAAGATTTTCTTTTCGGCTGTATTTACTTATCTATTTTTTTTCGGGTTACTTTCTCTTAACCGCCCGTCCTCAAATTTGTGGTTCGGGGATAACTAAGCTACTAGTCTGGATAGATTCCATCAGGACGGAAGATAGCGTGTTCTGGTAGTTCTCGGAAGAGGTGGGAAAAACATAAAAAAAAAAAAAAAAAAAAAAGGAAAAAGAGAGGGAAAAAAAGAGAGTGGAGGGGGTGTTCTTGCTGAAGGTAGGTTAGCTCAGGTCTAAAATAATAACAAATGCAAATATGATTCGAAGGAAAACCCTCAATACCCAATCCAAATGCAGAAGCCTACTAGCAAGGGTGCTAGCAAAGAATAGCAGCAGACACCGTTCGGGCGGTCCACGCCGCCTTGAGCCTGTGGATCCACCCAGAGGGTGGAAAAGCATGGGATCAGTCAGGGCTGCAGAAGGGGAAGTGGATGGAAAAGGAAGGGTCATGGGAGAGAGGGAACTTTGGGACTTCGTACACAGAAGGATTTCGATTCAGCAATACCTACAGGCCTGTTATGATGCTTCCCATGACCGGTGGCTTTCGTTTATTTACGCCTTTTATGTACGTTGTCAGAAGATAAGATGATGAGTCCAAGTCATCCAGCAGAAGGATAGTAACATTTCTTTCTTTCTTTCTTTTTTTTTCTTTACTTCCTTTTCTCTTTCTTACTCTCTCTCTCTCTCTCTCTATATATATATCTATCTTTATTTTATTCAATTTTTAGTTTTCTGTGTTTTTCCCTAAAAATTCTCTGATGTGCTTTTTTTTCGCTCCCTCTTTTTTCGCCTTGTTAACTAATCAGAAAATGTGAAATGACCTCATTCGACTAAGGAACCTTGGTACTTGACGGGAGCTACTATGGTTATAGTGGCAGCATCAGATTTGCACCGCCTCTTTCTGTCTCTTTCCTCTGGCCCGTAACCCTACCCTACCCTTCCATTCAGATTCTTTGCTTCTTTCTGCACTATGCATGGAGTAAGTTAGGTGCCTCGGTATACATTATTCACAAAGACCCACTCGGAGTACCCGTCCAATCAGATATAGTATGATCGAACCTAGTAGTCAACCTGGCAGACACCGAGATGTGATAACTAGTACATGTAGAAGAAGCACAGAATATAGAACGGGAAGTGCCTCGCATTCCCACGCCCTACGCCCTATAGATCATTAAGAAACGTACCTCGGTAGAAATAGGCAGTCTCAAGGTGAAACGGGTAGCAGAATCGACATGCAAGACAGAGAATTAAAAATAAAAATAAAAATACAAATACAAAACGAACAGTAGGGAACGATGCCCTAACCCATCACAACATATTATTAGTTCTTTGGAGAAAGGCTCCTACCCCACTGCACCCCTTTCCACATCGGGCAACCCTATCTTCTGTCCCCAGGTGCCAACTTGGAATCTCGAAACCTATTTCCTATTGGAAGTTTCTTAATTTGGAGCCCGGGGCAGAAGATTCGAAAGGTAGTTAATCCGATATTTCGCCCTTATCCCAGTCTTTCCCCCCTTGGGACAGCCCCGTCCCGATTTTGAGAAGTAACTCCATATTTCTCAGTCTATTTACCGAGGACATGCCGTATACCGTCGATGACCGACTCCCGGTGGAGGTGGAAAAAAAAAAAAAAAAAAAAAAAAAAGAGGAAGCCTTAGGACCTCAGGGACGCATGGCTTTGTTCTGACAAATTAAATTGTACGGTACCCATCGCTGAATGGAGCCACTGAGAAGCCTAACAGCCAGGAGACTTTGTTCGAACGGTGACTAAGGGCTACTATCAAAGCAGCCGTC